AATTTTTTTTTTACAAACATTCAAAGTTTGAATTTTAACAACATATTATGTAAAAATAACGAAAATCACGAAAATTCGCAAATTATTTTAAACTAGAAATTCATAAAAAATTTACTTTTTAGATCTAAGGTTTGAAATTTTTAATAATCTATTATATATCCTAGACAGATAAACCGTCTTCGCTCAGAATCTTTTTTCGTATACAATGATATAATATCATTGGATTCAAATTTAATTCCATCCATTACAGTAACCCACTTGTAACCTAAGCTACTGTACAGCAGTGCGACATCCACGACTTACCCGCCTTTTTTTTTATTGCATACAAATGAACAGCTCAATGTTTAGAAATTTAAATTACTGCAGATATAGGGCCTCCAAAAAAATTGTATCCACGGGCCTCAATGATCCTAATAGTTCCGCCATTGCGATTATACATACACTATAGTAATATAGCAGGTATATGATCTATAGTAGATATAAATTTAAATAGATACCTATTATATGATATAGCAGGTACTATACCAACTAGGAAATATAAAACTGTAATTATTTTATAATTTATAACTTTATAAGTAAACAAATAATAACAGCCATCTTATTTTTCTAAACAAAATTGAGGAATAATAAGAAAATATATAGGTACCTATATATTATTTACACACCTATATTATACATGTGATATGTTTATAGATATACCTACGTCCTACATCCAAAGTTCTTAACTGGCACCCAAGGCGAATTTCAATACACCTTGAAACTAACAATGACTACCTAATATATCAACGTGTTTGTTACCTATATACAAATACATATAAAATAAGTGTGGGTATAGTATGTATTTAAGTATATTATATATTTTGTATGTACCTACCTTATAAATACTCAAACGCAATTATTAAAGAAGGAAACGCGATACTACGCCTCAGCAGTACGCAAGGTGATTCTTAGGTTAACACTAATTTTCTCGAAAATTATTATTGTAATATTTTTTTTTGTAGATTATCATTCATTTCGAGAATTTTAACATTATATAAAATTGATGCCCATGCGAGTAAATTCTAGTTGTTATTAGTTACGAGTTATTACTTAAGTTAGTTAGTTAGCGGATTGGCAGGGGGGTTAGGTATAAATTAAACTTAGTTTTTTTCTTTAAGTTTTCGTATTTAAATAAAATAAATAATACATTTAATAGGGGAAGAAATGTCAATGAATCACGAAAATTATTACAATTTGAAGAAAGTACTGTGAAAACACAGTTACCCTATCCTCATTGGTTCTGCATTGGAAATTGACTACAAATAAGGCAGTTAATATCTTATTTTTGATGTCTTGATAATATAATTATTAATTAGTTATAATTAGTAATATACAAATATCGCAAACCCTCTTAAGGGAATTTGTGATGATTCGACAACGGTTAAAATCACAATGTAAAAAAAATTATAGTCATTTTTTCTTATATTTTGTTTCTTGTTGATAATAATTGCTTGGTGGCTCGGTCACTTGAACCATTGTCTACAATAAATTTAACATATTAGTTTCATTATGGGATAAATTGTTACATTAAGTTAAAACATAATATAACTGTATAATAATATAATATATTGATAGAAAATAGAATGCAAATAAACTTTTTTTCAAATAAACAATTTGTTATTTAATTATCGATAAGCATATAATATGAGGTTCATATTTATTGTTTGACATGAAACGTTTGAAATATTATATTTAACGTAGGTAAGAATATACATTTCTAATTACAAGTATTGAATATCAACCATATTTTTTAACGCTTTTCCAACAGCATCCAACTTGATTTCAATATTTTTTCTTTCATTTCTGATGCTTTCCATTTCTAAAAGTACTTCACCAATTTTATTTTCTTTTAAATAAGCTTGAAATATGTCTTCATTTAAACGCTTATCAAGAACTTTTAAAAATGAAATAACCATTTTATGATTTATTCTTTTAGGCACAAAGTCCCGCACGATTTTCCTGATGTACTCAAAATAACATTGACTTAAATACCTATGTAATCTTACCTGTTCAGACGCTTCCAATGATACTTCCTGGTTATTAATGCCTGATAATAAGTGATTTAACATCTGAATTCTAACAGTTTTTAATCTTTCAATTTGGGCCATTCTGTCGGGTATTGGAAAAATTGGCATGCCGTTTGAGCCCAAAACTAGTTCTTGTTTATAATCACTTTCGTGTTTCTTTATGTTTACACCTGCAATAATTTCTTCTTGAATTGTACTGTTAGACATAACTATTTCCGAGATAAAATCTGGATTTGCTGTATTTATACATTCCTGATAAGTTTCTATGTATGATACAATAAATTCTTTGATATGTTTTAAATTTTCGTCTAGCAACCTCTGAAACACTTTTTGCACCTACAATTAAAATATACATTTTTTAAATCTAAAAATGTGTTAAGAAATTACTATAAGTATTAATAATCTAATGTAAACTAAACTTACTACAAAGTATATATTTTAACTCTTAAAAATAAAATAGAGGCTATCTCTTTAACTCGATTTGTTACTTATCAAAATAATTTAATTTATTGAATTTAAATTAAATGAATTCATTCGGTGTAATGTAACTAACCTTATACCTCAAAAGTAGAAGTATAAAATATAAATACAATATTTCATTCCCGTAAAAGAGTACCTACAATAATGGTAATTAATAATTATACTAATTATTATATTCAACAATATGAGTATGAGGTGATTCTTTTAAATATAATATTTAATTATTAGTATATAAGTGAAATTATTAAAACGAGTTATTAGTTACTTTTAGTYTCTAGTATCAATATTTTTAATTTCAGTATAATATATGTAACTATAAAATTGTAAATATTAAAATTCGTTATTATGAAGTTTATAGAAAAAATGTTACAATATCCATTTTTATATTTTTTAATGGTTGTAAGTAGTATTTTTTAGATTTTGTACTAGAATTGTTTCGTTGTCACTAGAATACAAATTAAAAAAATAAAAATGAGTAATTAAAAAAAAAATTTACGAAAACATCCAAAATATTTTGAATATTTTTCATTTTGAGCCGAAACAATTTCATCATAATCAACCATTAAGTGATACATAATATTCCCAAGGTTATATTCAAATCTTTTATAAGAGCCCTCCCAAAGTGCAAGTTGAACTGATTTGCTATGAAATCTATGCATAATATTGAAACTTTTTTTTTTTTGACACACACAAAACAACTACACACATTTTTGTAAAACTAATACCAATGAAGTCATTATCCTATTGTGCCTAAGTAATTAGAATCTAAAAGACTATGATGATTTTTTTTAATAACCTATTAATTAAATAATACGTTTTATGCATAAACGTGTACTATTTAAACTTTGAAAAGAAAATGTGCTTGAATAATAAATACGATTTTGCAACATCCTTTGATGTTAACATAGTAAATAATATATAATATTTGTCTATTTTTAAAGTACCTATAAATTAAACCAAAAAAAAAAGTAACATCATAACCTCTTTGGTATGCCTAAAAAGCATACATTCATGAAAACTTTCAATGATAAATACAATATTATATAATTCAGGATTAACTTACATCTTCATAGAGTTGTGGATATCGTCTGAGCGTGTCCAACAATTTTACGTCAATGGAGTTGAAAAGGTTGAACATCTCACTGCACACCAATTCTGCGCAGTCCAACGACGGCTCGATTAAGTTATTTAATTGCCGTTTTATGATTTTTTGTAACCCTTTTTCATTTACAAAAGTACATTGATAAGTGCCTGATGTATTTGCTAAAATATTTGCAATATTTTCATTTGATAAGTCTTGAAACGGGTCTATGCTGTTGATACTCTTTAAATATTTTTGTTGGAATATTCGAACGACACTGGCACCGCCAACAATTTTATCGATCGGAACATCGTCTTGATTACCGTTCATAATGTTTTCGTATGATATGCTAATATCTTTTAAAAGTCCTGCTAAAAACGACATTTGTTCATCAGGTTTGTATTGTGGTATAAGTAGTCTTTCCAATTTACTTTTAATTAMTTCAAGTTCAACTCTAAGTTTTGGGTACACCTTTTTTATGTGTGTTAACAATACCGTCTGTAACGTGTGAACTAACGCCTCGTTACCGTGTTTCGTACATATATCTGGGTAATTAGTTTTTAGAAATTCTGCTTCTGACACTAATGTCGCATCCATTGATTTATTCTCAACGATGTCTTTTTGACTTCTATTCACCACTCCGATAATACCTAGTTTCACTGGAATTCTGTTGCCGCACAGTAAATCCTTTGTGTCTTGTTGTGTTCCTTCATCGATTAGGTCCAATTTTGTAACCACTGCTATAGATCTGATGCCATCTGGGTCCAACTTCTTTGCTAAGTGAAGACTTTCACTTGTTGTTGGATCCGTATTCGCAGTCACCACTGCTAAAATAATAGAATTGGGTTGTTTTACATATGAAATAATCAATTTCTGTATCTGTTCATCAATATCTTCAGGTTGGTCTCCGACCGCCACTTTTGTTATACCTGGCAAATCCACAAAAGTCAGATCATAGCGATTAGTGTGAATTTTTAACACAATTTGTTTGTTAGTGATGCCTTTATTATTTCCTGCGAGAATGTCTGTTCTACTTTCAATTTCCTTACGTACCAAATCAAAATCAATATAAAATATATTTGGCTTATGCAGGAACTCGGCCCATTCTGTTAGGTTTTCTTTGTCTTCAATGTTATTTGATTTCAACATCGTTTTTCTTGTTTCCTCGGTGTATTTAACCATTTGTATAACTAATGGCGCTCTGGTAACAACACCAGTTCCTCGAGGTAAAAATGATTTTCCCACGATGCTTTCTAGCACAGAACTTTTACCAGAACTCTGTGTTCCAACTACCGCAATTTGTGGTAAGTCAACGATTTGCTGTTCACCAACTACTGCAAAAACATCTTGTAGTTTGTTGATAGTTTGTATGAGTGATTTCATTGTTAATTTGAAATTAAGTTTTAAATCTAAAATTATAAAGAAAATTTTATTTATTTATGTGTTTATATGTATTTATATCACAAATATATATATATAATTATATATATATATATATATATATAATAATACATATACTCGTATTATAATTTTATTTTTAATGACAAAAAATAGAAATGTATGATTGACGATGAGGTATGACTTGTTATTAATTCGTATTTGAGTTTATTTTTACCTGCCTATTAAAAATATTTATTTTGATGGTTTTATAGTAATGTATTTATATAAATTTCTCATAGCATAGCAAATGGTTTTTTCTTTATAACACTAAGCATCCTATATCGACTATATCCTAATAAATTTATAGTAAAATAATCAAATACACTTTAGTACCAAATTTTCATCTATCTATACTAATATTATAAAGCTGAAGAGTTAAAAAAGTTTGAACGAGTTAATCTCAGGGACTATACTGGTTCGAATTTAAAAATTATTTTTTGTTAGATTGTCCTTTTATCGAAGAAGGCTTTATACGCTATATAAAATTTGTAGAAAGTCAGTGTAACCACACTGATCTACGGAACACACTTCAAGACACATTTCCAGTCAGTCATCAGAACTGTATTAAAAATTTTAATTGTAAAATCACACTCAGTGATATAACTTAATAATATAAAAGAAAAAAGCGGTAAAGTGGATATTGCTCTAGGAGTCTAGGCTCTAATGAACAGTAGGTTATAAGTGATGGCTTACTGTAATGGATGGAATTAAATTTGAATCCAGTGATATTATATCATTGTATACGAAGAACTATTCTGAACGGTTTATCTGTCTAGGATATATTATAGATTATTAAAAATTTTCAAATCTTAGATTTAAAAAGAAAATTTTTTATGAATTTCTAGCATAAAATAATTTACGAATTTTCATGATTTTTACGTATTTAGTCAAAATTAACTTTAAATGCTTATAAAAAAAAATCGTGCCTATGTATTTTTAATATTTTTTAACTGCTATTATTACAATGTGTTAGAAGCCTTGTATTAAATTTTCAAGCTTTTCTGCTCAACAAATAAATTTTTGTCGATATTTATAGAAAAAAAAAACTAAAAATGTTAAAAAATTAAAATGTCAGTAAACAGCTCAAAATAAATCAAAATATTTTGAAAATTTTAACAAATATAGAAATACCTATATAAATATTTAGTGAACATTTCAAGTATCTATGGTCATTTGTTTTACTTACACCAAAATAAGAAAATCGCTAAATGAGAAATCTAGTGAAAATCCAGTGTTGTAAAAATTTAAATTTCAAACGCTCATAAAAATTTAATTTAAATTTCTGGTTATTATAAATTTTTTTTTTTGTGATAAAGATTGACAAACTTGTAAGGAATCTTGTATTAAATTTTCAAATCTTAGATTTTTTTTATGAATTTCTAGCTTAAAATAATTTGCGGATTTTTACGTATTTTGTCAAAATTCAAACTTTGAATGCTTAACAAAAAAATATGACTATGAATTTATTTTATTTTTAAACTGCTATTGTAAAACTATACTGAAGCATGGAAGCCTTGTATTAAAATTTCAAGCTTTTCTATCCAGCAAATAAATTTTTATTTATAATTACCTAATGCTTATTTATGTTAATATAACTCTGCAGATAGGTAATAACACTAATAACCTATAATACCCTTAAATCTTTAAGTTATAAACCAAAATTTTATTAATGTAGTACCTAATACAATTTTGAACTTTGACTAACCGTCACTTTCTGTTATCCTTTGTGGTCAAAATTGTAAGACATAATATATAAAATCAGTTCACTGATTATTTTGTATAGTATAGTACACACTAGATACATGAATTGATTAAGTATAGGTATTTAATCGATAGTACATCCATTCATAATAATATGTATCTACAATGTACACCTAATTATTATCGGTGAAAGTTATTCAAAGTTCTACTGTTTATTGGTTTTTATATCTACCTATAGGTTATAATTAAGATGGTAAAATTCAAATTGATTTTTGAAGGTTAAAAACTTCAATACCTAGAATTTACAACTGTTTAATAATTATATCTACAATAGTAGCCAGTAAGTACCTAATTTTTATAGGAAGTATGAAAGTGAAACACAATGTCTCAATAAATACCATTTGAAAATTTGTTGATAAATTACTATGTTAATTAGAGACTGGAGTGCATCTTGTTTAAAAATATAAGTTGAGTTGAAACAATAATTTTCATACTTTTGCTATGTACTCACTATGGATGAATAGATACATCTTTATTCTAACCTAAGTTTTAGTTGTTTAATTTTGTTTTATTTGTATTATTGGTTGAAACTCGGCAAAACCGTTTAACTTGTTAAATGCATGCATTTATATTTGTCTTTTTGTATATTTAGGTGTTATTATTTCTCAACAAACCTAAATTAGTAATTACTAATTACCGACTATGGATTTATTCACAGAAAATATAATGAAACAATGTGGATATTCATCAGAAATTCTTAATATGTTTAAAAGTATTTAAAGATAACTTACCTATTTATAGCTACATTAATCATTAACTAAATTATAATATTATTGTATAGGGCATACATCTTTAATATAAATATAAATTTCTAATTTAATAATCAGTTAAACAAATTTAGGTAATATTATCTCTTTAAAAATATAGCTAATATTTAAGGAGGTTATCTACTAAACTAGGTACCTAACCCAGTTTAAATAAAATTGACTGACTTGTTTATATAACAATTGTTTTATGTTTTAAGAGGAAGAAATAGATGAAACGGTCTTATTTGGTCTTACTGAAAGTATGATTGAACAGTTATTCCCAAAAATAGGTCAACGTTATAAGTTTTTAAAACATTTGAACCAATTAAAAACAGAAAAAGTATGAATATGTATAATCTCATAAATAAGTAATTTCACAAATTTTTTTTATAATATAGAATTTGCCTGAGGAAAAGTTACCAGTTATTACTCGACATACATTAATTGATTGGGATAACTTAGATGTTGAACTATCAGATGACTTAGAACTAGAACATCATATTACTGATAACAATCTCATAAAAGAAATTTCATCGGTAACTAACACTAATGAATGCTCAATATCATTAAATACAAATTTAATTGAACCGAACAAATTTTCTGGTAACCACAATATATTTTATTTGATAATATATTTTTTAAAACACCTATAGGTATTACCTATACATTTATTTTAATTTTATATATTTAAATTTTAAACTATTTTGGTATCGTAGATACAGTTGTGACAATGGTGACAAGTTCATCTTCATCTTTAACTATWAGAAATATTCTAAAAAATAACCAAGATGGTCAGATGGTTTTGAAGTTTTACGAATCAAAAAATTGTTTGAATAGCGCTATGAGGAATAAATTGGTAGCTGTAATAATAAAGGACCAATTTCAAAACAATAAGAATTTAAATAGGACAAGATTTATTAAGTTAGCAAAGGGTATGACTGTATTAAAGTATTATAATTTTAAAAATAAAAGACTATAGACTTCTAAGATTTGAGAATTTAATACAAGGCTCCTAAAAAATTTTTACAATAGCAGTTAAAAAATAAAAGAAATGTATAGTCACATTTTTTTTTTACAAGCATTTAAATTTAAATTTTGACAACATACATAAAAAGCGGGTAAGTCGTGTATGTCTCTCTGCTGTACAGTAGGTTACAAGTGGGTTACTGTAATGGATGGAATTAAATTTGAATCCAATGATATTATATCATTGTATAC